AAAAAAAAAAAAAAAAGAGAGAGAGAATAAAGAAAAAGGTCAGAGTCAGAAACTAAAATTGGAGAGAGTTACTTATAACCATCCTGATGGCTGGGAGTGTTGAACTAAAGTACGTTTGTAAGATCAATGACTGGTATACACTCATCTTACCTGGATTTCCAGATAATTCTTCTTCATTACCACTATTATAGCTTAAAAATTTTACTACAAATCTCTGTGTCATTATCCCTAGAAATAAAACAAAATAAAAATATAATGTGCACCATTTCACTGGGAAAAGAAATTATTCTCCATAGTGCTTTATCTTAAAATTGCATTTTGACATTCAAAGTATACTCTCGTTGATTAAATCATAAATGCACATAAGAAACAAGTCTAACTTAATTTTATGGCTTATAATTATGAGAATCTTGAAGAGAGAAAAAAAAATACTTTCAGTGAAAGCATGTTTGCTACCCTCATTAAAGTTACCTTTCTGGTGGGCATTAATCTCTGCCCTAATAATTCTGACATTGATATCACTGATGGTATTATTATTCCATTTGAAAATATAATGTTCTTCCACATTCACGATTCTGGGGGCTGATCTGTTATTTAAAGGAGTTTCTGCAAATACAAGAATATGTTCATAAATTAAAGACCGTCTTTGAGCCTGACTGTTACTGGGACGTTCTCTCTGCTTGCGTGGCCTTTCCCGAATGCCCTGCCCCTGCCCTCCCTATCTCCAGCTCCCTAACATGGCACGGTCACTGCTTCCTTGAGGAAGCCTGCCCTGGTCCCATCAAGTCAGCATTAGCTGCCTCCCCTATGCCGTCATGGTACCCAGAATGAGATCTGTTCCTTTCATTTCTATATCCCCAGCGCCTGGCTCATAGCTTGCCATGGAGCACAACTTGGTAAAATGTTTGTGAGATGAAAGACCAGAGGGTCAGTTCCGCCACGGCAGGGGCCCACTGTCTAGTTCCCTATTACAGCGTAGGAACTCCACTAACATTTGATGAGCTAATGAATAAATTTGAGAAGTACAACACATCAGAAAGAGACACTCAGCACTTGGGGAGGCCGAGGCGGGTGGATCACCTGAGGTCAGGAGTTTGAGACCAGCCTGGCCAACATGGTGAAACCCGATCTCTACTAAAAATACAAAAATTAG